TCACCCGAGTGGAGTGCCTTCTCTGTCCATACAGATGTCAACCACTGCACAACTTCCCCCATCAATGCTTTGTCTACAAAGTCGACAGAAACTTTAATTTTGAAAACTTGCTCCGTGTTTATTCTCGGTTTAGATGACATTTGCTCTGGGGCAGGGGCGGGGGCATCTCTTTCAAAGTTAATGAAGAATTTTGGAGAAACCCTGGATCTGAGTATCTAGAGATTCTTCCGTTCACCGCATGAGCCTCTAAGTCTCTTTTCACTGGTGGGACAAGAGGACTCAGTGAGAAGTCTCCGAAGTCCCTTCAGGCTTGACCCCGTAGGGCATGAGGCCTTCTAAGGACTCTCTTTGTACAACAGAGGGCTCAGCTGGTTCAGATTTTCCCTGGAGTGGAAAGAGGAGACGTGTGTTCTCTGACAGCCAGCCCCCCTTCCGTGGTCCCCGCTGCTTGCATAGCTATTGTTCCATCACGGTTGTCTAACTCTGACTCAAACTGAAAGCAAACTTACCAAAAGTTAAAAACCTTTCTGAAGGAATGAATAACCATGTCCTAGAACTGGTTCTATGAGAAAACATGTAGCCCGGGGCCTCCAGGGCACAGCAACTTGCAGCAACCACATCTGTGCCGAGAACCTTCTTTGGTCATTGTAACTGTGCCAGCAGCTTCCAATTCAGTTTCCTAGTCCAGGCTTTTTCATGCCATCCTCTTCAGAAAATGATATCCTTAGGGCACTCTGGGATCAAGGAGGACGCATATGGCCAGAGGTGACAGGTCCAAGATCTTTGACCACCCCAGTCCCTACTGTCAACAAATGCCTCTTTCAGCATCCCTGTGACCTGCTCTCGACAGCCAACTTGCCTTCACACACTGTCCTCATTAGTTGTGTCCACTTGGTGGAATCTGGACCATATTTCTTAGCTGCAAAAGAGTCTGGAAAAGCAAGTCAATATTTACCTATTACTCATATATAGGCGTCGGTGCCATGCTCTGGGCTGTGCTCCAGACAAGTGGACTCGGGAGCCAGTGGACTCGGGAGGGGGATGAGGACAGTTGACAAAGTTCTATAACTGTGCACAGATCTATTCGGATGGGTCTTGCCATCTCACACGTGGAACTCTATTTGGGCTCTGAGACATGATTTCAAAAGACCTGACACCTCATGACCGTGGGATCGGGTGTCTCCCTGGACCCACGCAAAACAACAACACTAGCTTCCAAAAGCCCATCTGTCGAAGTTGTATTCCATGCTGCACACTGATAAAACAGCCCCTAGGACTGGGGTCCGAGAGCCTCTGCTGTAAAGGGCCCTTGTCCATTCTGCCCTCTGTGACTGTTACGCCCTCTCTTCAGGTGAGGCAGCTCAGGGACCACGCTGAGCCCTGCCTAGTGTACTCACGCAGCACACACACTCACCCTTCTCACCTGTGCTTTGAGCATCTGAGGCCCTGAATCCCCGGCCTTTACTGTTCCCCACTCTGTCTCTAGTGAATCCTTTCACACCAACCTACCCCTCTGGCTTGTACCCCCATTCTTGAACATATATATAAATAAATCTTTTAAATAAATGAATAAAATGTCCTTCCTCTGCTTGGTGTCAGTGGGATTTCTAGTACCTCACACACACACACAGCAAAGACAAAAACAAGCACAACACCTGATTTCATTTGATCACACTTGGGTGAGCCTAGCTTGAAGCCCAAAGAAACATAACTAGAAGTCTCTGCTGCTTTTCAAAATCCCATTCATGCAACTGATGGTATCCAACATCTGTCCTTCTGCACCACAGCCGTGGAGGGGATGGCCACACCCCTCAGGGACCCATGCCCTTGGCTCCTAGGATGGCGGGTCACCTAACTCCAACCTAACTTTCCCTGAAATGCCATCTCGAACTCTGCATGGGTATCTCACACAGAGCACCCCCTAAAAAACCACCCTGAGAAAGAGGGCAAGTTTTGCTGGGCCCTTTGAGCCAGACTAAGTCGCACACCAGGCAACAGGCCTGGCCAATAACAACCTTCTCCACACCACACCCTGCCATGCTCTCATTCTGACCTTCCGATCTACGTCCTGTTTCTGTCCTCAGCCTTAACATGAACTGCTGTCCTCCAGACACAGCTCTGGTATCTGCGACCGGACTTCACACCTTTGAAGCAACCCGCAGACTTCACACTTTCAGAGGCGCAGAACTGGAAACCACTGGGGTGACACGATAAATTCATCCCTGCAAAAAGAGTAGGCGGAGCCTGGGAGTAACAGCTGCACTGGACACATTTCATGCCCGACTTAAAAATCCCATCCGACAGTGAGTTTACACAAATTCCCCTTTTAAATCTAAGCTGTCACAATGAGCTTCACAGAAGCGACCGTCCAGAGATAATGTCATTATCTGCTGCTGAAGGTCTTAATCGGACTGGGCGGCCAGTGAAATTATCTGCAAGGGGCCCCTCTCCAGGCATGGCCTCTGATGACCTGTGTTCAACCACCACAGGGATGGGTATTTTTTCCTGTAGAAATGCTAAGCATGGAAAGTTCTGTGTCTGACGAACTGCTTCCCTTGGCTTGGCAGGCTAGGAAGTGACTTAAGTTTCCTGTCGTTTAGCAAACTGCTTCCCCGTACCATTATTTTTTTCTGCTTTTCAATGTAGGTCTTCAGAAACCTGCCAGTCATTCTTCTCTGGGAACTTGGACTTCGCTGTAACATGATGAACCTCTGAAAGCCACAGAGGGTTTGCCAGGTCAATAAAACTGAAACTCTTTGATGTTACTGAGACTCAGGGACCCCTCGGACTTCTGTCTTTGTTCAGACCATCAACTCCGCCTATGGCTTTGCCTGTCCACTCATCCTATTGAAATCCCAACTCTTCAAGTCCAGCTCAAATTCTGCCCTCTTCGACAATGATCTTTCTCACAGCTCTGATTTCCGACAGCGCTGGCTGCCCATGTCACTGATCCGCGCTTCTTCATGTGTGACATTGCGTTGCTTTCTTATAAAGTCAACTTTCTTACTCTGTTTGACTCCTTCAACCTCTATCATGTCGTTAGCACCCAACCATCTGGGTTCAGTGACATATACATAATTAGTACTTAGTAAATTTATTTTGATTGCTGGTATTAGAATATTAATAAATAGATGTTTCACGTTGTCTTTAAAAGATTCAGAATATTTTATTATTCTTACAATTATGTAACTGTCATATTCTAACATGTGAAAACGTGGTAGATTGCATTTAATTGATAATTTTAAATTATATAAACATCAAAATTTTGACACAACTGAATTTCAATTTGGAGATGCTCTAGATATTAGTTATGTGAGTTAAAGAAATACAGTATAATCTAAAATAAATGAAATACAGTATAATCTAAAATAAATGAGTGTTTTAATGAAATACAGGCTGGTTTCTGAATATAACAATTTTACATTAGTTTCTTGCAATAGAGACAAATTTTTAAGCTGATAAACTTCAAAACACTATGAAAGTTAAGGAAACATTCTATTAATATATGGTATGTACGTAAATCTGAAATGGATACATACATTTGTGCGAGATTTAAAAAAACAAGATCCAGTTGTTCAAATCATTCTCTTGGATTTGGGGTGGCCTTATAAAATGACTGGCAGCCTGGCCATCCCAGGCCTGGGCCTGGCTGAACTGGACGGAAGTGAGCCCAAAGCTGTCTGAGCAAGTGTTGATGCAGGCAAAACTCTGGCTGTGGTCTTAAAGACCTGAACGTCCAGCCCAAAACTCTGGCTTGATCTAGAAAATGAAAACCCAAGGAGGAAAGAAGGCAAGATGCAGACGAGTTCCAGGCAGCTGTTTCAAAACAAAATTTGTAAACTTCTGGGAAATTTCTTTTGTTGTTACCTGGGTATACCTCAGGGACAGAAATTGAGAACTTAAAGTCACCGTACAGGTTGCTCCGTGATTTGTAAGTATTAACCCTCAAGGAACCAGGAAGACTTCTTCTACAGATGCTCACTTCTCTCCAGCTGGACATGTCCATTCATGACTTCCTGGGTGGCAGGAAACCTCTCACTTGTCCTTGGTGTATCTCTAGAGCGCTAGCAGGCAATCAGTAATACTCTATTTAATTCTAAACTTAGCTCACTGTATGTGCTCAGTGCACAAAACAGGGTCTACCCGTAGACTCAATAAATGTTTGTTGAGTGAATTGGTGAATGGGTGCTTGCCAGTATGCCAGGCCCCACTAGGTGTTGGGAATATGAGCCTTCCCTCGAGTCCATTAAAGGAATGAAATCACTGTCATATATTTTATTCATTGCCGAGCTCTACAGGCAGTGAATCTGGGGAAGGTGGGGTACATTGTTAAACAATGTTGAGCATGAAATAAGCACTGAGTTATCTGAGACCAAATGCCCAGGATAATTTAGACCTAGTGTTGTAAACAATTGAGTAGAAGCCTATCCATTCATCCACCCATTCCAGACATTCACAGTCAAAGGCATTGCTGCTTAATTAATACAGTAAAATGTTAGTCATTGAAAGGTTGCATTCATTGACATAGCTCACTCCCAATATTTGGAAGAACGAAATGTCTCTCTAATATCAACTGCATCCTATCAGAATCGGGTGAAAACCAGCCCCCAACCCCAAGCACCTCCAGCCAGCCACAAAACACACATGCCACTGCTCACATCTGGAACGCTGGTTAAAGTCTTGCTTATACCGTGACCTAGAAAACAGGCTGTGACATCATCTAACTCTTCAATAGACACTCTCGTGCACACACACTCATGCGCACACACATACATATTCATGTACACACATACATATTCATGTACACAAATATGCACAGTGTGGTTTCTGAAGGGATAGTTGCGATAGTTTTATATATACATTTTTTTACACCAGTCTTCATTTTTATACAATGTAGCTTTTTCATCCCAGTTCTCCTCCCTGCGGAATTCCCACCAATTCACCTGTGTTATTACATGGTCCCTTATACTCGTCCCACCCTGTTTTGATCCTACTCCCTGCCCCCAGCCGCCCCTGCAGAAAGTCTCTGGTTTATAGTTGCTTGTTGGTTCTGGTTTTATTATAATTACGTTTTTTGACCTCTTATGTTGCTCTTAAAATGATAGTTTATTTTTTAAGCAAAGTCTGGACAATTTTACTCAAGAAAAATGTAGCACGCCATACTGTTCACCAGCTCTTTCCTGCACTGACTGCATCCAGTGATATCAAAGTCACCTGGAGCAGCGATAGCACAGGGTGTACTCTGCAGCGTGCCCTCAACACGTCCAATTCAGTGCTCCTGCCACTCTGGAGAGGGACATTCTGGCCAACATGGCGTCTGTAGTGCTCCACCGCAGATGTCCTCAAGCTGGGCAGTGGCTGGCGAGGATGTCCAGTTTCACCCCTTTCATCGGCATCATTTCATCCACTTCATTGCTTTAAGCTCCTGATTTCTTTGGGAAACTATTATTCTGGACCAAATACCCTTCTTCTCCACGACCAAACTGAGTTTGCAAACTTGTGTCTGTGACCAACCAGAGGACTCTGGTTACTCTCCCTTCACTGTCAGCTTAGATATGTTTATTTTTCATCATAGTTTCTAATGCATTAACCTCACTCACAGGGATTCAATCTCATCAAAGCACCATTACCAATATTTACGTCAGTTTTCAAACTTAATTTCTCAGCGTGGAGAAGAAATGTCGCTGTGGAAAGTTTTTATTTTATGAGGACAGAATTTCTGTCGTTGCTTTTCATTTGGGCTATGGTTGAAGACACTCCTATTTTTCCAGTCAAACAATATGCATGTCCTTTGACTTCCTGAAAAAAAAAAAGATAAATAATAATCATCTGACAAATTTCCATACAATGAATTAGATTTGTAAGTTCATTGTAAACACTGGGGAATACACCCCAAGTGAAATAAGATGTGATTAAGCGGCTGAATATTTGTCTGACACTCAAATCCGTGTCCGTCCCAGATGTTGGTCTGCCCCCAGCTAGCTCCAGGGGGCAGGTCGGGCAGGTACAATGCCAATCGTGTCTCTCCTTCTGGACTGTAAGCCCCTCGAGGGCAGGGGACAGTCCTTATTGACCAGGGTCTCCCCAGCATCTCTGAGGTGCCTAGTACATAACAAGTATTTTTGCTAAGTTAATGACTCAATACATTTTCTCTAAACGACTCTTCTACTATCTGATGTGTTTACCAATAACAAAGTTATTTGTTGCTAATACAATGAAGGAACCCAAAAAAGGCAATTAATGCAGGGGTCTACACAAAATAAGTCTGAAGGAAAAAGATAATCATCACATGGTCTCACTTATATGTGGAATATAGAGAACCCGAACAAAGAGCCAGGAAAAACACAAAACTGGCCAGCTGACTTCCATCTGAGGCATATAGAAGGGGAGTTTGGGAGGGGTGAAAACAGGGGCGGGATGAGTCACCAGTGCTGCCGTGGTGGGAGAACCATGGGACCACACCTGAAAGGAGAATCAAATACTGTCCAAAAATGAACAGCGACGTAAGAAAATAAATGCATTGGATAAAATAATTAAGGGAGCCTCCCTCAGAGAAAAGGACAGCTTTGGTAAGGGGGGGCAAAGGACTGGCCTTGGACAACACTGAAACACATGACCAGTCCCGAGTCTCATCCCCTCCTCCCTGTGTCCATCCATGCCTGACAGCAGGGTCTGGGTGAGCTCAGCAGGGAGCTCTCAGTCACACCACCTCAAAGCACCTGACCTTCCCGGCTCGCTTCTTCTTCTTCTTTAGTTTTCCGTAAATACTCTCATTGACTCACTGGCCAGAGGGAAAGGATGCTGGCCAAGACATGGCTTGCTAGAAGAGGAGGTCACACACACACCACGTTGCACGCTTTGGTTCACATTCCTGTAGAGAGAAAGTGTCTTGCCCGATTAACAGTGGGCTTTGAACAAAGCTTATGGTGAGAAGTGACATTAAAGTGGCTGTGGGCCAGGCAATGTACTGTGGTTCTGCAGCCCAATGCACAAGGCACTGATGTGTTCTGTACGGTTTCTCCCTCCTCTGTAAGTGTCAGAAGGACTTTCCTATTCAGGGTTGTGACGTATAAAATAGTTCTAAGTGGGGGGGGGCCTCCCTGGTGGTGTAGGAGTTAAAGACACAGCACTATCAAGCTGGTGGCAGCCACTGCAGCATGAGTTCGATTCTCAGCCAGGGAGCTGAACCACAGGGTGCAGCAGACCTCTCCTGTCTCCCCGCTGCTCCCCTCAGCAGTGTGTTTCAGTAGATCTTCCTGTTTGCTCCCCACTCTCTCTAATGAATCCTTTCACCTCCCATACCTATAGCCTGCACCCCAATACTTGTATGCATAAATAAATAAATCTTTAAAAAAATAGTACTAATGGGAATCCCCTCCCTACCCCCAACACTCCATCACCACCTCAACCAGCCCCTTCCCCAAGGTCACTGGTAGAGGCACTGAAGAAGCTGAGAAAGAGAAAGCAGAGCTAATTCACTCACTTCCCATGGCAACATCTGCACTTGCATGAGGCGAGCACCCAGTACCCCTCATTTAGTAGAAAGGCAGACACTGACCTCCTGTTAGGCTCTTGTTGAAACTGGAGGTCCCCTCCTGCTCCCTTTTGGGGTTGTCGTGGTTTTCTGCTCTCGGGATCATTTATAGTCAGAAAATGGTGCACCTTTATTGCAAAAACCACCCACTAAGGGCCAGTAATCAAGTTACTTGGTTTAGACACCATGCTCCCCCCAGCCCACTGAACGACCCTCCTCCAAAATCATGCCAAAAAGACTCCTGTGGCAGAAAGCTCTCCCCTGACCTCCTGGTCCACACACCTTCAGGCTGCCGGGTGCAGATGTGAACACAAAGTCTTCACCCTGAGCAGTGGGGAGAGTGAAAGGGGTGAGGGTGAGGTGCACCTCTTTTGAGAATCCACTGTTATTCCACCCTACACTCCTGGTCGAGATACGTCTTTCCCCTAGCAGGCACCCAGGTGGGGCTACTTGGCACCCTCTGGATGGCAGCCCAAACAAGAGGTGCTCCCTTACCCAAGCTTAAGCTGGCTTAGTTACCTCGATTCCCTTGTTGGATCGGCAGGTCCTAGGTCCTGAAGCTGAGCAGGGATAGCAGATGGAACTTCTGTTTTTAGCTGAGGACTGTCCATACTGTTTTCCACCAGGGCTGTGCCCAGTCATATCCCCACCAACATGACAGAGAACCTTCCCTCCACACCCTCTCTGACACTTGCTGTTTCTTATCTTTGGATAATAGGCAGGCGGATTCCTTAATTTGTAGCGAGGCTCAACCCTGAGACCCATCGCAGTTCTTGCCATGAGTTAGGGGCAAGATGGAGTGAAATGGCTAAAATCCAATAACGTGAGGGATCATGGTGGGGGCCTTTGCATTTCAACAGAGGCCAGCGGAACAGAGGTCATTCTGATTACCCTAAAACAGTGATGATCAAACGGGGAATGTCTATTGCACATTGGATAGATGGATGGAAGATACGTCTACACCCACTTTCCCCTTCTCTGAGAGAGAGGGCTGTTTGAGCGCCCCTCGATTAAATGGAGCAGATCACCTCAGAAGACAAAAGAGAGCAACAGAGCAAGCTGGGCTGTGGATTGGGACAGTCTTGCTGTACCCCTGGTACAGGGGAACTAAAGCAAACTCAGCATCTTCCGTCTCTTCATCAACATGATGAAGCTATTAACTCCAGTCTGTGGAACTGCATAGCTTGTTGCCACTAAACCTCCCAGCCCTGAGCCCAATGACCCGTCCCTTGCTTCCTCTACCTGGGACAACAGTGCACCTTCTCACCCCTCCCTAAGTGACAGTCGTCCCGCCTGCCCGGGGACTTCCGGTCCTCAGTACACACGCTCTCCCCACAGCAGCCTATTCAGATGCCACCCACTTGCCGTTAGGCCTCAGAGAGGCTGACGCGCTTGACCAAGCCAGAAGTGCCAGTGCGCTCCCTGCCTGATGGTGGCAGGCCCTCATCGCCCCTCTTCCACTGTGCCTGCTAGTTCTGAGTTTCAAGGCTGCCAGACTGGAAAGAAAGCCAAGGAAGGCCTCTGCTGCTGTCCTCATGTTAGACTTGCCTTTCTGCATCCTCACAACCATTGCCACATGCAAAGCTCCCTCAAGCTCCTTTCAGGGTCTCCCCAGCCTCCAGCAAAGCAGAGCAGCTGGGCCCCCCAGGGAAGCTGTGGGGGCACCCTCATGTGAGCCCTCCTCGGCCTCCCTTCTCTGGGCTGTTCAAATCACAGCTGTTTTCCACAGTTGCCTCCCTCCCAGAGCTGCGAGTCCCTGAAGACTCTGTTCCACTTACTGCTGTTCATGCTGCTTGGAGAAGTTCTTTGCGTGGCCCTCAGCCCTGACTTGCACTGTTTTGGGTCTGCTGCCCCAACAAGTAGAGACTTGGAAGAGACCTCCAAGGCCATGCAGGTCTCTCCTTTGCAGAGCCAGGCAAACCCCCCAGTGTCTCAGCAGAAGCAAGAGGAACCTCACAGTGAGCGGTGGGAGCCGGGTGGCCCTGCCAGGGGAACTCGGTCTTTGAATTAGATTAAACCATAATTTACCTTCACCACTCTTGTGTTTGCAGGAGTAAATCTCCCCAGAAAACACTGGAAAGAACATCCATGATGGCACTTGCAAAAAGTCAGTATTCATCAGTGAGAAGAGAGAGTCGGGTGTCCAGAAAGACTGAGTAAGTTTGCAACAGGAGGCACAGAGGAGAGTGACTTTGCCTTTTCCCTAAAATGTGTCTGTCCACACCGGAACCTCCCTCGGCAGTCTCCTTACTTGAGCCCAAAGAGCAGCAATGTGAAGAAGTCAGTCATAAATGCTTACATATATTTGTTCTCTCGAATCCCAATAGAGCTTTTCATTGTCCTGTTCCATCAGCGTTTCTCACTTTTTCTTACACTTTCCCAACAAAGATGACAGTGAGGAAGAGTCTGCCAGAGCCTTCACTGGACGCTACCACCTCACTCTGCTGATACAGTAGATTCCATATTCCTCTGCTTTGTTTTACCCCTTGTGAGTCTCCCGACGGGTGATGGTCTCCATTAAATCTATAGATCAGCCATTTGCAAATGGTCTGGCATTTTTTTCTTTGTCATCGAATATCTTACACTACTAATGAGGTTAACTTCATCTACTTGATATTTTCCTTGGGTATATATATATATATACATTTTAACTCTGAGTCATAAGTAAATAATATAGCAGAGAAATGATACGTTCCCTCAGGCAAATGGCAAGATCTTAAACACAGATTTCACCAAGTCAGGCCAACCCACTGGAGTTATTAATAATCTTCCTTTGTAGACAAGTTTGAAATCTGAAGCCTATTTCGATGAATCTATTATATAACCCCACAATTTTAAACCTGGAAAACATGTTAGAATCAATCCTCTCCTACCATCTAACGTTCCAAAAGAGGACACTGAAGCTTGGATGTGAAGCACTGGCCTGAGGCTCCCTGGCAGTGGGATGTCAGAGGCAGATAGGACATCAGATTCCACCATCAACCAAGCTGTTTCTGAGAAACCCAAAATACTATTTAGTAAAAGCGGGCTGTTAATACCTTACACACTGTACTCCTTCAATAAAATCTGTTTGCTGAGTACAGACTTGGTGGGGCTTGTGACAGATGGGCAAGAGGAGACAAATCTCCTTTTGCAGAACTCCAAGGGATTCACATTCTGTCTCCTCCTCCAGGAGGCTGAGCGGAACTCCCTGTCCCCACCACGTGGGCTGCCCAGAGTGGCTTCTTTTCCAAGTAGGACAGGTGGAGGGGGAGAGATATCACCGTAAAGAAACCCGACAGCCGACCTCAGCCAGGTGTGCAAGGTCAAACCAGCAGTGGTGAGTCCTGTGGTCACCACACGCCCAGTCTGCGCGTGAGGAAAGCCAAGGCAAATCCCAGTGAAGGTCGTTCGACTGAATGCTTCGCTTGACTTCCTCAAAAGATCCCAAACACAGAAAATTTGAGATGTTGTTACCACCTGAAGCTCTAAAATATGCACCCACTCACTGGGAGGTGGCGTCCTGGGTGGAGACCTGGAAGGGACAAAAATGACACTTCATGGCCAGACTAAGAAAGTAACGTGCTAAGAAGACTGGGGAAGATGTAGGCGAACTCTTGATCCTGTCTTCTCTGTGTCTTTTGAAGTCTCAAAATGTTCTAGAAAATAGAGTCTATTTGAAAAATCATAATGTAGCAGGAGAAAACAAATGGGAGACCAAGTCTATCTAAGCTAGGAAGTCTAGAGAGCTGCCCCCAAATTCAAGACTTGACTTGGAATCCTACACCTACGTACCATTTCCACTGACTCTTCCCCTACTGGCCACAGGTCGTCTTCATCATCACCTCTCACCTAGAAGTGAACCTCTGGGGAGCCTCGGGGGAGAAAATGAAGAGGAATGTGGATGTTTTCCCTTCACTGGAGTCCCCTTCCACCCAAATATTTGTACAGTGTGTTCATACAAGCCCTCAAGATGGGACTCCAGATGAAGGAGTTTGGAATAGACAGTGCCTGAGGGCAGAGAACTTGGTTTGTTCACAGATGTTTCAAGTTCATAGAAGAATGCCTGACCTATCTTCAGAGCTCAACAAATATTCGCCCAGAAAATGAAAGCCTTTGGGCAAAAAATTCCAGTTTTTTTTTTTTTCAATTTTATACATATTTTATACCACTTTGTACGAGGTATGCTTTCTCCTGTCTGGTGTAGTCCCCATCTTCTCTAGAAAATAAGATCTAAAATGCTGTCACCGACTTTTTCAAATACACCAAACTTGTGTATTGAAATGAGCACAGCCCCTTGGCAGCCAGACACTTCAGTCACTGCTGCTGGTCTCACTCCAAATACTTCCAGCATTCTCCACTTGCCATTTCTTAACCTTACAGGATCAAGTCCAAACACGAAAAGTGAAACCCGCAGGACCTAGTTCCTGCCAGGCCCTTCAGACTCCTGCTGTTCACTCCTCAAGTGTTTGCTCGAAACCACAAGTGCCCTCCCACCTGAGACCTCCTTGCCCCCACCCCAGTCCCTCCAAAAAAGGTTTGAATTCATCTTCAAAATCCTGGCCTAAAGGACACATTCTCCGAAGAACTCCTTACCATCACCTCACCTCCCGCCCCAAGAGAGAATTAATCATTTTGGGGGCCTATCTCTGTTCCCCATTGTTGTTCTTATCATCATGAACTGTGTTTACCTTTGTTGTCCATATTAGCCTGTGAACCTCGTAAAGGCAATAGCCTGGTATCGCTCATCTCCATATCCGCAGCTGTGAAATGGAATGGAATGGAACAGACTCATTCAAATCCAAAGCCTATGACGCATTCTTTTAATAACCTCGGTGGTAGCAAATCTTAAAAGCTTTGGGGCATGAATATGTGATTGGAAAAACCATTTAGTACCTATTTTGATGAGCAAAGTAGGTAACTGGGTTGAGCTCTGCTGTTTTACAAAAACCTAGAAATGTCTACAGATAATTAGATTAATATCCTCATATGTCTCAGAAAACAAGTAGGTTAAGTCAATCTTGCTAGAATGATTCTGCACTTACTACAAAATGCTTATACCTATAGTTAATGGGATCTAGTTATTGCAAGGATGTATTCATTTATTTATTCAACAAAGTACGTTTTTAAAAAACGTAATAAATATTCATGCATGAATAAGACCTGGCCCCTCTCTCCAGGAACTTGTATCCAAGGGCCAAGACAGAAATGCTCAATTATCACCCGGACTATGGTGAATGACAATGGTGTAAACACTGCTTTGGGAACACATTCTGGAGTAGATTACTTTGTGCAGTTACTTAAATTTTTTTCTGTTTTATTTCATGTGCTAAGAATACTGAAGGTGGGTCTACCTTCAGTAAATGCTGACATGCACTACTCACTAGAGGTGGTGTGGTGTAGATCTCTGGAACTTATTCATTTTGTTTAAGGAAATCTTTGCCCATTGATTATCAGTTCCCCATTTCTCTCCCCCACCAACCCTTGCCAATCTATATTCCACTTTTCGAGTCCAAAAGTTTGATTATTTTAGATAATTCAAGTAGTTAGACTATGACCATATTTGTATAATGTCCTCATTCGTGTTATCAAGTATTACAGTATTTCCTCCCCTTAAAGGCTGAATAGCATTTCATTGTATTTTGGCCTCACTTTTTTTTATCTATTTATTAGTCGATTGACATTTAAGTTGTTTACACACCTTGATTACGGTGAATTGTGCTGAACGTGGGAGTCGTTCATTTTGATTGGGAAGGCATTAGGAAAACATATCAGAGATTTGTTGTCTTCTGTCACCGTTAGTTCTTGAAGCCTAGGGTGTAAGTGATAAGATAGATGTTAACAAATGGAACCGGAAAGACAAATTTAGGCCAGGTTGTGATAACCTTTGAATGGAAGTCTATGGTCATTCTGTAAAAATATATGAAACCACCGGAAATTTCCAAACATTAGACTTATGTTTCAGAATGGTGACTACTGCCAGTGGGAAAAAAAATAAGAGATAATCAGGGTGAAGGCTGAGACAAAGAAACATGAGCAGTAGGAAGACCAGTGAGGCCAGGTCATCCAGGCCAGGGATTCCTGTATCAATTACTGTAAGACCCTTCTCTACTCAAAATTATTGGAGCCCCCAGGAGCTTTCGTTTATGTGGGTTATATCTACTTACATGTACTTTACTATAAATTAAAACTGAGAAAACCTTAAAATGTAGACTACATGAACGTATGTTCAGGTAGCCATCAGCGACAGTGACATGATGTTGGTTTTTCTAGCTTCTAAACAACCGCACTTTCTACTGCTTAAAGGACAAGAGTGGAAGACGAAAATAACACTTCACCATTACTATAAAACTTTTTTGATCTCACAGATGCTTCAGGGATCTCTAGAGCTTACTTTGAAAACCTCTGATTGACAGACTAGGCCCAAGGCAGAAATAGAAGAGACAAGCACAAGTAAGTGACACTTCAGAGACAGACTCAGGAAGACTTGGTGACAGATTGAACTAATGGTGCAGATGAAGGAGAGCAAAAAGCTAAAAATATCTCCAATTTTTATCTTGGAATACTGCATGGATGGTGATTTTTTCTCTCAACTTCTCCCACATTGTGTATTTAAGGCTGCTGTTAATGATTAACAAAAGTTATGTATGCTTACATAATACTTTAAAAACGTCCCTTATTTTTCTGTGATTTTCTAATAGACATTCTTTAGCAAACCCATGGCATTCTACTCATGGAGATTCTAAAAATCTCTTCCTCCTACCAACATGTACCAAGTGTAATAAGGACTCAGTATAAATGCTTGATGAATGGATGGACACTGACTAAATTCATTGAGTCTGCTAAATAATTTCCTGAGACTTCAGATGAAAAACACAAAAGTGCAAACTTCCACTCTTAAACAATGAGTCACCTTTTAAATATTTATGAAGTTATTTTCGTAAGGGGGCAGCCTTCAGCCTGCCAATCCAAAAACAACATAGTACTAAACCAAACTTACTCTCTAATATATGCATCGCATTAAGTGTGCCTTTCTTTAAGTTGGGTGTGTTCATTTAATTGGTTTTAATTTAAAGCCCAATTAACAAAGTTTCGACATAGAAGAAGATAAAAGTTGACTTCTTTTTTTTACTTCCTCAACTACTGAATCATTTTGTATTGTGACTGAACTTGAACCCATTCTTTTAAATACAATTTTATTCCAAGTCCTTATGAAGACCACATTCTGTTTTATACCACACCATTCTGATTTCCAGCCCATTAACCTCAGTGAACATGCTTGGCTTGCCTTTGACTTCAATAAGCTACGCATTTATTCTGTCCAGTAACTGTGAAATTGGGATAAACCCAGATATGCATCTGGAATCCCCCATTAAATCTCAGAACTTTTTAAATTCAGTAAGTCCTTCCCCAAAACAGGACAAGTCCTCTGAGACCTTCATCCACGATCCACGTGTCCTTCTCCCACTGGTCACGGACAGTTCCTGCCATGTCCATGGGTCTGCCGTTCCCCAACCAATGTAGTGGCATGCTTCTGTTCCTTTCCCCAGGCCATCCCCTTCATCTGGTTTGTTTTTCCTTCCTCCTCCCCCCCTCCTTTCATTCATAGTACAGTTTAATTGCCCCTTTCAAGAGAAGCCTTCTCCAGTTCTTCTGGTCTTTAATCGCTGGTTTCCCCTGGCCCCATGTACCATAACTCTTCTCTCGTAGTTTCATGTCCTTTCCCCAGTGACTCATCAGGCTGTGGGCTGCTTTTCTCTAAGTCACATATATAATCAGCCATTCATAATTGTTGGTTGAATGGAATTGAATCAAACCAACAAGCACAAAAAGAGATAAGCTCAAACCTCATCACTCAGCACATACAAAGTTTCCGTAAATCCCTAGTCCCCATTTGACCTCTTTCCTTTGTCAATAGAAAAAGCTTTTCTGTAGAATCTAGCACATACTTCCAAATATGTCATTGTATCTTAAGAGATATTATATCTCCGATTCATCTTATCATAAGGAAGCTTCTCACTGGAGGAACACTAGATGAATCCTGAACAGTGAGTGAGCAAAGCAAACCCTTCCCACATTGACCACCCTCTGGCCTTCTGTCCAGCCCTGGATTTACTATGTGAATGAACAGGTGAGGTCTCTGACTGCCCCCAAGAATACAGGTAATCTGAGTTTATTTTGTTCCCTTAGTCTAAACTGTCCTTTCCCCATTCCCTCAAATCTTCTTTCAAGACCAAGTTTATGAAGATTGTTCCTTCACAAGCTCTCCCTGTTGGTACAAGGGATTAAAGCACAGGACTTATGAAGCCATCCGCAGCTATTGCAGCTGGACTTCAATCCCTGGCCAGGGAGCTGACCCACAGGGTGTGGCAGACCTCTCCCATCTTGCTCTGCTACCCCCCAGCAATGTATTTCAGTCAGTCTGCCTGTTCTGCTCCCACTCTGTCTTTGGTGAATCGTCTCACCCCCTGTACCTCTGGCCTGTCCCCTGTTCTTATATGCATAACATAAAATCTTTTACAAAAAGGATTGTTCCTCGTTGGTTTGTCTTTCCTTCCCTCTTGCCCTGAGTCAGAGTGTTCACACTGAAATCGCATCTACATCAGTTATTCTTGCCTTAGTTAACAAATGGGAAACCAAGTACAGCTAAGCTAGGAAAGTTGTCGCAGTCTAGAGAGCTGCCCCCAAATTCAAGGCTCCACTTGGAATCCTACACCTACATACCATTTCCACTGACTCTTCCCATTTACTGGGAGAATAGTGACTTCTCCCAATCACTAGTTTTGGTTAGTTTTCATTTAGGGATAATTCCCACTACTTGGCAAAATCCTGGCACAGGAATGTGAGGATCAGTCAGTATGAGGCATAAAGTTCATGGCACTGGAGCTAAGCTGACATAAATTCAAAGGCAGGCTTGACCACACTCCATGTGAACTTGAACACCTTATGTAACTTTCTGAGCCTCAATTTCTTCATCAGTAAACTGGGATTAAATGTGAGTGTATCCAGTGCTTGGCAGGAGGTAGACCAACCCTCTGAAGACCCACACCTGCAGCCTTCTGTGAGGATGAGTCCCTTATCCAGGAGGGCCCCAAGGCCTTCGCTGTACAGTCCCTTTCAGTTCTTGGATTCTGGCACCGAGGGCAATGTATTCTAAAGTTAAACACCAACTTGTTTTCAAGAAGGAAAGTGTTTATGCTGCCTCTGCAGTCATCAAGGAAAACAACAGATAGCCTTCTGGGGATAGTTCAAACACACAAATTAAAAGCTCTCTGCCCAATTCACTTCCAAATATTCTTGAGGAGTTCAACACGAAAGCTTGGCCCTTTGGTCAAGGGCATCAACCTCCAAGCCAGCTATTTTTGTCCTGACCAAGAGCCCAAGAGCCACATTTCCTTCTTGCATAGATATGATATCTTGTAACTCTTCCTCTTAGACCCGTGTGCATGGAATTCAATTTTTTTTTTTAATCATTTCAAAACAGAGTTAAGCACAAAGCCTGGTCACTGAACCCTGGGCTGGAATCTGTGCTAGCTCTACTTTTGTAGTTAAACAAGAAAGAAAGAAAACAGCAAGGGAAGGCCTGGGCATGCTGTATGCTTCTGTGTCTAGTTCAGCCTAGCCCGTGGGTGCTCTAGTGCTAAGCCTTTACCAGCACTAACCTCCAAAGACCAGATTCAGAAGTAGAGACTCAATGACCGCCTTTCTGTGAACACTCACACTCCAAAATGTGCCAAATGAGCATGGTGTTGTTTGTCATTTTAAACGCTCGTTGGGTTTTTTTCATAATCATTTTTCTTTTCATTTCCAAATTAAGAGTTCCCAAGGAACTCTTGCAGGGGTGTCAAAGACAATAAAATGAAAGAACATATTTTGATTAAACAGTTTTACATGCGTGGTGTGTTTGTTTTTGAATAACATTAACAGTTGGAAGAAGAATGTTAAGAAAATGAAAAATTATGGTGAAAATCCTAGTTTCCTTGATTTACAGAATATTTTTTTTTAAAGATTTATTTATTTGTGCATACAGAACTGGGGTACAAGCCAGAGGCTCAGGGATGGTGAGAGACTTCACCAGAGACAGAGTGGGGAGCAGAACAGGCAGATCGATGAAGTACACTGCTGAGGGGAGCAGCGGGCGGGTCAGGAGAGGTCTGCCACGCCATGTGGTCACTTCCGGGGGCAGGCGGGGATCAAACTCATGCGGAAGCAGCTTTAGATTCTCAGTGCTGTGCTTTAACCCGCTGCGCCACCAGAGAGGGCGGAATAATATTTTTTTTTAATTCCAAATTGTAAAAGAAGGAATCTAACATGTCAGACCTTCTTTTTGAATGTGTGTGATATTATTAAATCCTTATAATTGTTCGTAGCAATTTTCATTATCATGCCCATCTATTATGCTAACATGGAAACAGGCTCACAAAGATTAATTAAATCACTTAAATTCTTAAATTTTTATGTTGGATTTGAACATCTTGCTGCAAAAATCTTATTTCCAACAGCCCATCCTCCTCCAGCTGAAAACTGGCAGGCACAGCTGCAAGGTGTTGTTCAAACAAGCAAACAAAAGATCTGTAGTCATGGAAGATCCTTCTTGACCATTTGAATGGTGCTTTCTCTCTAAAAAGATCTAGACTAACTAAACTTTTTCAAATAAGTTAGTATTGATTTGCAATGCTGGATCTGATTTAAGAGAATAGGTTCACATAGGTATTTGTCATCACACCACACCCACCACCTTCCCAAAGGCCGTTTAACACCCCGTCTCTGCTTTGTTCTCACTCTCATTCTCCCTCCCCCTCTAGTATTCTC